AAGGGGGAAAACTGCTCGTGTAGGGCCATGAGGGCTGTAACCTCAGATGGGGCATTGACCATCTCAGTAGTGGCCGTGAGCTTATCTGGATTCGGCTCAGTGGCTGCCTCCATCTTCTTGGAGCTCTCTGTCTCGTGTGGATCAGCCTCCTGCGCCTGCTCCAACATCGGTAGATCTTTGCCTGGTTCTCCTTGCTCCATCATGAAACTGACGAATACTAGGAGATGTGACGCCCTCGATTCAACCGTACACTAATAATACACGCAAATGTGTACGATCAAGATCAAAAACTCATGGGAAGATATCCCAACATAACTCTAGACACAAATTAAAATAATACAAGCTTTATATTACAAGCCAGGGGCCTCGAGGGCTCGAATACATAAGCTCGAATACACAAGAGTCAGCGGAAGCAACAATATTTGAGTACAGACATGAGTTAAACAAGTTTGCCTTAAGAAGGCTAGCACAAAAACAACAACGATCGAAAAGGCAAGGCCTCCTGCCTGGGAGCCTCCTAACTACTCCAAGTCGTCAGCGGTCATCATGTAGTAGTAGGCACCCTCGGGGTAGTAGTAGTCATCAGTGGTGTCGTCTGGCTCCTGGGATCCGTCATCTGGTCGCAACAATCGGGTATATGGGAAAAAGAGGTAGCAAAGCAACCGTAGTACTCATCCAAAGTACTCGCAAGATATACATCAGATCTAAACTAAGTACGCATCTGTATCAAAGGAAATGGGTTGTATCTGTGGACTAAACTGCAGAATGCTAGAAAAGAAGGGGAAAGCCTAGCCTATCGAAGACTAGCATCTTCAAGCATCTTGCAGCATATAGAAGAGTACAGATCAACATAATTTAAAGTAGTAGTAGCGTTATCAACCTCGGCCAGAGATCCTTTCTCGACTCACTGCGAGAAAGCAATCCCAGAGCCATACTATCCATTTCTCATAACCATTTCTCATCTCAAGTATCCAATTCTAATTGTATCGATCGAGATACAACTCCAAGTGTATGTTACCGTAGGACAGGCTATCGATAGATGTTTCTTCCCTGCAGGGGTGCACCAACTTACCCACCACGCTCGATTAACTCCAGCCGGAGACACTTTCCTCGGTCATGCCCGACCTCGGCCAAACAATATGCCGCAACCCGACCTAGGCTTAATAGAGAGGTCAAGCACGCCGGACTAAACCTATGCCCCCAGGGGTCTTGGGCCATCGCCCCGGGAACTCCTGCACGTTGCGTGGGGGGCCGGTGAGCAGACCTAGCTACCTCCTTAAAAAGGCATGTGCTTACCAGTCCAACCCGGCGCACGCCACTCAATCACATGACGTCTATTAAGCTTCGTCTTATGCATACGACGCAGAACGCCCATACTATGCCCACGTGATGGTTAGTGCTATCAGGTCATAGGCCCCTCGGATCAAATATCCAAACCATTAGTGAGTTGGCAGTGCGGTCACGAGCAGAGACTCACGAAAGATGTGACCCCGTCGCCCCGTCTTGAGTACTTGCGGCAAGGGCTAAGAATGCCCGGCCATGCCTCGTAAGTATCTCACTGGCACCTTCCAGGTCAACCCGACTTCACATGACTCGCTATTACGCTCGCGCGGGTACCCCTCAGGGCCGACCCTTCTTTAGTAACATGGCTCAGTGCAAAGTCATAGTAACCATAGTAACTGTGTATCTAACACCAAGGGGAAACCCCGAGGAATCACCCCCGGTGAATTCCACTCGATGTTATCATCAAGGTGAACGTAAGAGGATCCACCCTCGAGGTTCACACTTGAGGGGTTGCACGACAGAGCCGTAACGGAAGTGGTTAAGGAGGAAATCACCCTCGATGACCTCGACCGTATAGCTACACTATAGAGGTCTCATCAGGAGTGATGTAAGAGGTTCCACCCTCGGCACTCGATGGTAACTCTACAGAGTCGTACAACTAGGGGGGGATGTGCGGTGTCGGGGCCTGGATGTCGATCACGTTGATCGAGTCATCGAACATAAAGCGAGGCAACCGGGACAAGGTGGGGGTCACTGATGGATCACTAACAAACCTATACTAAGCAGTTTAGGATAAGCAGGTAAGGTAACAATAAGCAGGTAACAAAAACAGGCTATGCATCAGAGTAGGATCATATAGAAAGCAGTAGCAGTTCTAATGCAAGAATGAGAGGGAAATAAATGGGCGATATTGGAATGCTCAAGGGGGGTTTGCTTGCCTGGAAGCTCTGGTGAAAAAGAAGAAGTGTCGTCATCGACGTAGTCGAACACACGGGCATCAACAGCGGTCTCGGGGTCTACCGGAGAGAAGAGGGGGAAGAAACAGTAAATACAGAGCAAACAGATGCATTACTAAGCATTACATGACGATAGGCAAAGCTAGGGTTGTCCTAACGTAGTACTACACATTGCA